TGAAGGAATGAGATAGATATCCTGCCTCAGAGAATTCAGTGGAGGAAAAGGTAAATCCGACATAAGAAATAAAATAGCTGTTTCATTGTTTGCTAAATGAAGAAGTGCGAATTGTAATGAACACATTAGAACAAGATTTAAATTCTTGCCCGTTTTCTCTGCCATCTTGATATCAATAAAGACAACATAAAACTCGTAATATGCCACAAAACAAGGACATGGATGACAGCCCGGTTAACAAGTGTCATCGATTTAAAGATTAACCATTACACAAGAGCATTTGAAATTACACAGCTCACATATGACAGTTTGATAGAGATTCTCTCACATTTGACAGCAATTCCGAACATTTACACAGGTTTGCCAATAATGAAGTGGGTTCAGAAGGCAAAAGAAAGCACCTACACTATCTGTATTATAAAGCAATTTTTAATCTACCCTGCTAGAGGAAAGACCAGGCCTTTTGTTCTCAAATTTATATAGAAGTGATGTTATAACCCTCCTATTATTTGGAGCACTGAAAAATTTTCAGTCAAACATTTAAGGGCAATGCAATTACAAGATGTTCTCAGGTAACTAACTGTTGAAATGTTTTTGCTGCAAAAATGAATGCCCCACCAGGAAAAGTAAGATTCTTGAGCAGCATGTATGTTCTTAGGGGCCCTGGGAAACTGGAGGCTGATGGGAGCTTCCACCTGAAGGCCTGATGTCCACATCTGCCTGTGCCTGTGGCTTGGTCACCTGGCTTCAGCCTCGGCCATTTATCTCATGCTTTACTAAAACTGGGGCATTTGTACATGGTTCACCTTCCAGCTGGAGGACAGGGCCTTGAGGCTTTATGACATTTTTAGTATACGTAAAGCTCAAACACAAAACATTTACCTTAGAAAAAAGCTCATCAAATTGTGAAAAAAAAATCCTCAAATTTTTAAATCTAAATTACCAATTGTCATTTTAAGGTACAATTTGAAAAATGAAATTGGTTGGTTTTAAATTTGATAACTATTTGCAAGTATTTCTTTTAAAATTAATGGAGAATTGATTACCCTTGTGTGCTGAGGTTGATATGAAAACATGAGTTATTCATCAGTTTTTGTTGGACATTGACTAGTTTCTAAGTAAAAAAAATCAGAAGTTTTTTTTTTTCTAAAAAAAATAACTTTGGAATGAGGGGTGGACAAGTCACTTTGCTATACATAGGACTAAGGTTCTCATTTCTATTTCAAACTCTGACTTTGGAGAGTTTAACAGGAATCCCTAAGAAATTTCAAAATACATATCTAGGAAATCCAAAACTAACTTCTAGTTGAATCTATGAGTTCGAGCTATTAGAAAAACTCATAGAAAAATCTCCAGGGGGAACACTAACTAGTGTTTTCAACCTAAATTTGTATCAAAAAAGTGATTTCACATATCTGTAGCAGTTTTAAGTACAACCTTAGCTCATTAGACCCAGCGACACTGATCCCCAAGTGAAAATGGTCCCCAGGAAAGAGCCCGGAAATACTGAATTATTGAATGGCTACTGGGGTGAAAGAAAGAATAGGAGAGATGGGTCTTTGCTTCTCAGCAGGTTTACAGCCACTGTAAATGAACCCAGAGGACCAAATAAATGAGCTTACTTTGCACTAAGAACGTGCTTTTAAAATAACCTTTAAAGCGTCTCCTTCCTTTGACAATCACTGTACTCCAGCTGAAGAAGGCTGGAGTTCTCTCTGTCTCCTTTATAGATAAGGGAGGCCAAGGAGAGTGAGCAGAACTCACTTGAGCTGCTCTTTAAATAGTATTTACTTAGGCAGCAGGCCCTCCCTCAGCCTTCTCATTCTCTGCTTCTTTCTGCCTATTATTGGACATGATGGCTGGCATCACAATGATCCTGTTATGCCGTGAGGCTGCCTTAAGAAGACAAAGCAGAAAGAAAAAAGGAGTCTGAGGAGTTGACGGTGTCATAGTGTCACCATTCCGGCCAGGGATGCCTACCTGCAAAGGTGTTTGTAAGAGAAACTGAACCTTTATCTTACTTAACACAGTGTTTTGTCTGGTCTAGGTTATTTGTAGTCATGACTCCTCTTTTAAAAAAGTTTTTGAAACAAATAAATGGATGGATGGATGCACTGCTCTGGAGATGGAACATGTAAAATAGAACTAAAAACCCTATACATTCCCAAAAATACATACCTGTGAACTTCCCAGGACATGTGCTTATGTTTGTAGAAATCTACATAAGACAGAATCTTTGGGACAGCTTTCTGTACACCACCAACTCCAGAAGGTCACCATTTCCGTTTGGAATGAGTAAACCTTGACCTTCACCTCTAAAAGTCATTTCACCTTCAAGATCACAGCCGCACCTTTCTTCTCTGAGCCCAGCACATCTCCCACATCCCAGGGTCCACTCCATCTGGGCCGAGTGTCCATCCAGCACTTCCTGCCCCTTCCCTGCAGGTTCCTCTGGGTCTTTCTTGCTCTCACCCCAGCCCTGATCTCCCCGTGATGCATCTCATGGGTTCTGCCTGCCCCCTCTACAATTCCTCCTCCCCTAGAACTCAAGGTCTTAGCCAGGTATTAGCCAAGTACCTGAGCAGATTCATGGATGACGTTAAAGGAGACAGGTGCCTTTCTATGATGCTCTTTGGATAGGAGTGTCTGCCATGTTAGAAACATCACTGTCACCATAGCAATGCCATCCTCAACACCACCTTCACCCTCTTCATCACTGCCCTCATCCCCAGCCTTCTAGGGAACACCAGGTCGTGAGCACCACCTGAGTGCTTCCAGCATGAGTCCATTAGTGTTCACAGGACCTGACAAGGGAGGCTCTCCCATCAGTCCCGTGAACAGGTGAGCAAAGTGGCATGGAGCAGCCCTCATGTTCATGTCACACGGCCCATCAGTGGGATGTGTGTCTCGCTCTGGCTCCAGGGTCACCTCCTCGCTTCCTCATTACCTCCCTTGGGCACTTCAGTTATCCCAAATGTATGTGTGTGCCCCTGTTTAACAAGAAGGGATAGAGGCCTTTCAGGAAGGCATTGGCAAGATTAGCTTTCTGGATGACCTTTGGGACATCTAACATCTAAAAGCGAGTGCATCCCACCTGCCAGTTACCTGCCCTTCTCACTTCATCACTTTCGTCTCTGTATGAGCGCAGACATCGGCTCTGCCCTGGGAGTCCCAAGCTCATTGTCCAACGTCCATTTGAAGAAAATATTGATGCTTTTGGCAACTCCACAGGTGACTGTTTTTTTTTAATACTGCTCAGTGTCTCTTACCTCGCTTTAAGACTTCTATTAAATCTTTCCTTGAACTCAGCAATACTAACTTTAAGAACAGTCAGCCCCAGTGTTCAGTCCACAGCAGAAGGAGGGTCAGGGCTGCCCTGAAGGAGTTAATTAACCCCAGTGTGGGCCAGCAGCAGGGCTTGTTTGGATTGGGGTTACTTTATTTATGTTTCCATGACTATGTTTATGTTAAATATTACAATAGATTGATAAGATATTTTGAAATAGATTGACATGACAGTCTACAGGTGAGCAAATATCTCCCAATGAATGTTCTGTGGAATACAGCTCAATAGGATATGATGAGGTGGACCAGGAAAAAATTGTCCCCTGGTGAAAGAAGTCTGAGAAGACCTACAGGCTACCCCTGCCCCCTCTTAGAGACACATGGGGCAGTTTGAAGTTGCTCAGAAGTTTTTCAGTAACAGAAACCTTGCAAACCGATTACTTTAGTGTTCTGCACATCTAATTTGACCCAGAAATCTTTTTATTTTCCACAACCTCTTCACCCCATCTTCCATGATGTAACTCATGGGACTAATTTCTTGGAACACTCATCTAGAAAATGTGGAAATAATTGCCATTCTGTCTTAGCAATTACAGGGGTGCTGTCATGGGAAGTCAAGGAATGGAGCCATAGTCACTGACTGTGGGCTTTGCTCTTTTGTGGTTGGAACTCTGAGTGCCTAAGATACTGCCTTGAGAGAGGGAGATTTTGCTGAAGTGGAGAGGTATTGATGAACTGGAGGATGGAGAGGCTCCACCTATCCCAAGACTTCTGTGGTAGCTCTGGGGTTCCCTAGGAGAGTAAGGGGCAGGTACACACGTGGGGAGGCTTTGGAGGGTGGGGACACCTGAGATGGCTTCTGAGATATGGGAAATTGGCTCACTTCCTGTTTCCACAGTTCATTCTGCCTGTGACCTTGGAGCTTTCTCCAGATTCTCAGAGTTTAACGATAAGCTTCCCATTTGTGGAGAGTGCTTAATGAAACCATGCTTGCACAGCCAGAGGAGGCCACGGGGCTAACACAGAGAGCACTGTGGTGGGGTGGTGGGCACAGCAAAGGCTCAGCAAATGGGAGGAGCCCTTATCCTTTTCTTCACTAGGTCAGTGAGAAGGGTCGAATGTGTGGCCTCGGTCCCAACCCCAGAAGAAGCCAGGACCTTCCATCAGATGCACGGTGGGTACAAAGTCAGCAACCATACGTGACTGTATGTTCTCAACCCCTCCCCCAACGTCACTTCATCGGAACAAAGGGGGCACAACACATGATCCATATTCCAAACAACAGAGGAGATGAAAATACATAACGGCCCTCCTGGAGGAGTTAATTTGGTTAACCTTGCTATTGCCAAGAAAATCTGTTTCACCTTCTAGTTGCTGTTCAGTCTGGCCTCTCAATCTGTACTTGCTGGAAAAAATTAGTTATTGTTATGCTAAAATCACAGTGAGACTTGCATAACACAGTGCTAAATAACCCCGATAAAGCTTTGGCATTCAAAGTTATTTTCTTATGGACTTTAACAAGATTCAATGCTTTTGTTCTCACAGTGCTCTCTTTTAAACACACACACACACACACACGTGAGACAGAATTCCAGAAGAACACCATCCTCTCTCCTACAGAGGAGCTTTTGATTTTGCACAGAGGAAGCCAGCCGTGGTTGTGGTACATGGAGTTAATATTGAGCAGCGACCACAGCGGTGCTCTCAGGGATTACCTCCTTCCTGGTGAATTTTGGTGAGTGATCGTTTTTGTCATCGATGACGATCGTGGCTGTGGCCGTGCCTGTTAACCCAACATCTAGTCCAGCCATATCTTGAGCCTCGATGATCAGCTCATACTTGGGATTTTCCAGAGTCTACAAAGCAAACACATAACAAGAAGAGGGCATTTACATTTGGGTCACTGCTTTGGAAAGGTGGTGAGCATGTCACCTGGGCTGTCTCCCCCTCTCCTCCATCTCAAGCAGGCATCTCTCATGGGTCATAGCGTTTTTACCTAGTATGTATTAGTGTACCTTCGAATTCTCTCCAGCATGACAGTCACTATTCGTAGATTGGAGATGGTCATGGGAATGGGGTCTACTTCTTTGTTTAAGGGGACATTTGATGCATTACAGAATGTTCCATGTCCTGGGTTTGGGTATACATTTGTGTTTGATGTTCACTGCTATATCTGTTACATTACTGTGACCTCTCGAAGCCGATCTGGACATGCGACTAATTTTGAAGAAATCAGGACAAAGATGGCGCTTGCCATCTCACATTTACTAAATAATCTGATGGGCCGGGTAGTGGATCACTGTACTTTACTGATATTATTACACTTAATCTTTCCAGAAAGCAGGCCCAACTACAGTCACTACAGTCATTGTTCCCATTTCACAGATGGGGAAGAAACAAACAACTGAGGTTTCGTGTCACTTATATTGCACTTATTTCTTATCCTTTAAAAATGTTTTTATCAGTATATATTAATCGTACGAAGGTGTTTCATGGTGGCATTTCCATATACACATATTGTACTTTGATCAAATTCACCCCTTCTATTACTCTTTCTTATCCCTGTCCTCCCTCTCCCTTTCTTCTTTCTTGTCTTTTTAGTTTCATAGGATGCTAAATCTGGAAGTTGCATTTTGATCCCACCATGATCTGATAGAGGTAACACACAGCATTACTGTCTCTCTTTACAGACATAGGATTCCCGGGTGACACTTAGCTATTTGATGGCCATGTCTAAACATTCACATCACCTAACCATCCAGCAAGCATCCTAGGTTGGTTGAAGAAGAGCATGGTTGTGGGCACTGAATGGCCCCTGAATGGACCTGCCTGTGTTGGTCCCTGCTACTGGCAAGGCAGCACCCCACCTTTCCTTCAGGGACCCAACCCTCACTTCTCTCAGCCCACATGGTTAGTGTTGGATTGTCTTTCCCTGCTTTCTATCCTGCAAACTTCTGGAAGGATCCCTGACCAGAGAAGCCAATAACCGCATCCCATGCCAGGTGCGACATGGCCAGAACAGGCCTGGGTCCTGTGTCTGGTAGTGAAGGGGAAGCTGTTTCCCTGTGATGTAAACTGGAAGCATCAAACAGATGCCACAGCAGGGCTGTGCCAGGGAGCCCGGGAAAACGAAGCCTCTCTATCGAGAGAGAACAGCACCTGCACATTGGGGAGAAAGAAATGCTCTCATGCCTGGGGCCAGCCTTGCCCAAGAACTTTTCAGCAAATTAAGGCTTTAATTTTCCTTCTGTGCTTAAACCAGTTTGGACTGGTTTCTTAATCACTCACAGAGTCCAAGTTGAGCTACCTTCTATAGCAAAAATAAAAAGTGTTTACAATTGCATAAACTGCCCTACCAATATGACACCTGGGGTTTATTCCAGCCAATAATTAAGAAATCCCACAGGGAGCAAAGAGCAAAAACATCAACGGGGGATCTCTGATTTCCTTCCAAAGCCATGAGCTGACAAGGGAGATTTAACAGCTCCTTGCTAGCTCTCTCCAAAACTTGAAGGCCTGTTTGAAAGGCAGTTAGCTGCTTGCTCCCATCGGCACTTTTAATGGATTGTGCCTTTAAGAGCTTCTGAGCTATTAACTTAAGGAGCACTAGTTCTGTTGGATGGTTTGGTAAGGCTTTCAAGTGTGTGACCATGACCGAGAAGGGAATGTTAACCTACTCTTGTGGCTGCTCTCCTCATGATATTTTGGCTTCAATTCTAGCTCCAGCAGGACTGAAGGTCACCACGTTCCTTAACTGCTGAGTGTAAGTGGGGTTTGGCATTACACCCAGCTCTGGTTCTATTGGGTTGGTGGTACTCCCCCACTCATGGGGATTTCCACTTGTCACTGATCAGCTGGACTGGATTACTCTTGGCCATCAATTCTGCAGTTGACAACAATGACAACAAAAACCAGCCATCTTCAAAATCCTTCCCAACTGTCTCTGGATGTGCTAACCATAAGCCTGACCATCTCAGGTCTAATTTCTTATGTATCATTTTTCCTTTTGTCATAAAACATTGCACATATCTGTGAAAGCACACTTTCATAGATGTAGAAGTGATCATGGTAAATGTAATGCGATTTATTACCAACTCCTGGACATTATTTTAAGAGTTATATAAGATATAATAATGAGAATAGGTTATAATTTTCTTAATTATCTTTTCTTATTAGGTTTTCAAGAGTCTTTTCAAAATGTTGACAATTTTGAATAATACCACAATGAACACATTTATTCAGGATGACATGTACACACACACACTTTTATATTTGGGCTGAGTTTTTGTCTTTGTTTTGAAAAAGCAGATCCCAAGATGTGAAACTACTGGGTTGAAGAGTATGAATGTTTTGGGGCCCTTTATTTACTGTTTCAATATTGCTTTCTAAGAGGATGCTACCAGAATTCACATAGGTCCACACTAGCATATGACCCCAGGGATGGCTTATTCCTAAAGAACAGCTCCTGACCTTGCCTATGAAACCGGGGGCTAGCAAGACTCCATGATGGCTGCATGACAAGGAGAAAAATTGCACACATCAATTGTTCTTCAATGTGTAGGGCAGCCTGCTTCAGGACATTGATGCAAGGCAGCTCCAAGCACTGAATATAGCAGGCCCATGCCACCCTGCTTTCTGGTAACCATCCCTCTTCTCTGGTACCTATGCTATAATTCCCTTCCTTGCCCTCGGTACAGGTGGAGTTCAGGTAGGGATGAGTCCAATCCTGACCCAGTCAGATGGTCATGTGACTAAGTCCTGGCCAATCAGGGCCTTCTATTCCTGGGGCCATGCGATGAGCACATAACCCAAGTCAAGCCACTCAGAGACTGAGCTCAATTCTGGGATTCTGGAGCCAGCTTTTCTGAGCTCCTGTTACTACTCACTTAACTGGGACTACTGGGGGCAATGGGAGGTACAGAAAGGACAAACGATAGACAAAAATGGATAAAGCTGAGGCCAGGTGTGCTGGGCACTCAGATGGAGACACACAACAGCCTCTTTGCTTCTTTTCTCTATTAATCTCTTCTTGTCTCTATTAATCTCTTCTTTCACTTGCTTCCTTTCTCTTATTCTTTAAGGCCTTGCTTCTAAAGTCTTTCTTTAAAACCTTGCTTTACTATGCTTTAAAACCTTGCTTCTAAAGTCTTCTTTTCTGTTCTTTGAAGTCTCTTTCCTCAGACTCACTCTGTCCCATGTTTTCTCTTAGCTTTTCTTTAGCTTAATCTCTCTTAAAGCCTTTGCCCTCAGACTTTCACTGTCCCACGTTCCCTTTAATCTCTCTTAAAGTCTTTACCCATAGACTCGCACTGCCCCATGTTCTCTTTAGCTTTTCTTTAGCTTCGCTTTTCTAAAGCCTGTGTATAAAGTTCTCAGTGCAGAAAGCTGCTCCGGTGGAGACACAGCAGTCAGCAACAGTGTCAGCAGCCAATCAAAATCTCCCATCAAAAACCCACCATTAAAAAACCTCACGTCCTCTTTCAGTGAGTCTTTTATGTCCAGTGGTAAACAAGGAGGTGGAGCAGCAGTTCTCGGGGAGGGGCGTGACATCGTAACAAGAGAAACCTGCATTTCTACTTCTCTGAATATAAACAACTTAGGAGAAGCAGCTGTGCTGCATTTTGCTTAGGCTTCTCATAATCCACTCCCCACAGGACACATTTCTTTTGGAATGCACTGGAAAAAGTAGCAATCTTTCTGCTGAACTTGGAGGTGATAGGATACCAGTATGTAGCTGGCTGTGGCCTTTTGCATCCACACAGAGAAAGTTGACCTGAGAATAAAGGTAACACAGACCCCGAGGTGGAGCTAGAGTCCTTTAAACACTATTTGATCCCTTAATAGTCACCCTCAAAGCCAATTTACCGTTCAGATCTTGTGAGTCCTACATGCAAATAAATTTCTCCTTTCCTCAAACATTTGATTGACCTGTGATGTGGGGAGCAACCAGGCAGTTTTGACTCAGATTGCTTCTAATGGGATGATCAATTATCTGGTTATTACCAAGAAAGCTGTCACATCATACACCAGTATTACAATGGGCTCTTCTTGACAGCATTCCAATCATCTCACGAATACATTATTTTCCCTTCTAACATTTTCCCCTGCACAGAAATAATTTTTTCACACAGAAAGTTATTATAATTTTTCATTTCATTAGTTTGTGCATACAAATAATTGCCTGTTAATGAACACCTACTCCAAATGTGTCGGGTGCTAGAAACTGAGCCATGGGAAAACAGCACTCCTTTCTTTATGGAGATCAAAGTTCAAGGTTGAAGACCATTGTGCTCACATGTAGCTACAGCAAAATTCTGCCAAGGCTAAGCAGAGGCACACACAAATGCTTCTGATGGTGCAGAGGAAGGATGTACTGACATAACTCTTTTGTAGCCCAACAGAATTGATAATTTTTATAAATGGACCAGTCAATTCCCATCTCCTGAAGTAAATAAAATTTTACAACTGTAATGGGATGCAGATTGATTAATCTGGTAGAGAATCAATTAGACTAAGAAGTAGACAAATGGTGGGGTTTGGGATGGAATGTTCCAAAAGTCTCCATTTTCTGGCAAGCTTAAGGTGAACATCAAAAATGTTTTTATTACTGAAGTAATATCCAATTATAAGAAAAGAAAATCGGTGCAGTCATTTCTTCTCTGCCGTCACTCAGTCCCACTGGAGACTCCATGAATGTTGACAACGGTGTGGTGTGCCTCCTGCCGTGTCCCACGCATGACGCACAAGCATGCATACCCCCCCCATACACACATACTCAATCCAATCCACACCATTGTTCAAGCTGTCTACCATCTCAGGGCTTACAGGTCTGTCTGTTCATTCTAACAGCTGACAA